CCAAGGTCGGTTCATAGACCATCGCGTTGCTTTGATATTTGATAGAGACATTTTCAGCCAATCAAAAAAGTTGTTTGAGAGAGAGGGAGTGAGTGACTAGTACCCTGAAGGCGCACGCAAGGCAGGTTGGGGGTTAAAATGAGTTGACGAGGGTCTTCAGACTTTAAACGTTGTTCTATGTCCCCCGAAAAATGTTTGATAATCTCCTTGGCCCAGTTCACTGTCTATCGTCTTTTCAGGTCCGGTTATTACTAGTTATGAATAGTGTAATGCTGCCAGTAGCTATAGGAAAGAAAACTTTCTGGAAAGATTCCAGTTTATTGACAGAAATAATTATCTGTAATTATCTGTAGGGATTCCACAGGTTGGGACCACTTTGTGTCATAGGATACAAAAATATCATTAGGTCGAGGAGGTCGTTTTTGACAGCCTTTTGGAATCCTGAAGCCTCGCGGGGATTAGTCGGACTCATTATATATATATATATTATATATATATATATATATATATATATATATATATATATATATGTGTGTGTGTGTGTGTGTGTGTGTGTGTGTGTGTGTGTGTGTGTGTGTGTGAATGCATATGTATATATGTATGTATATGTAAATAATATATTTGTATATATAAGTATATATATATTTATAAATATAAGTATATATTTTATAATAATATATATATATAATATATATATATATATATATATATATATATATATGATATACACAAACGATTTGCTGTCGCATGGTGGTTTAGTCCTGTTTCTCCGGATCTCCTGTAGTGCTTGGATCTCTGTCAGGGAAGGTACCTCGATATTCTTCTCATCTGCAAACAATGCAAACTATATCTGTGTCCACACACACACGCACATATACATATGTGTGTATGGGTATCTCTGTATGTCTATATCTGCACCCACTGCAGGGACGGCAAGTTCCGGTGCCGGAATGAGCGGTGCATCTCGGCTGAGTCCAAGTGCAACGGCCACGACGACTGCGGCGACGGCAGCGACGAGAGCAGCTGCCCCACGACCACGACCACGACCACGGCCCCGCACCCCGAAATTACAGAAGAATATCTCAGACAGCTTTACGCTTATGCCTATTCTATTCCTAATTTTGTGTAGGTGCATAAACCAATGTGGATATTCACCCTATATGAATTTATGAATGGATATGCCTATGTCCTATTGACATTTTGAGAGAGAGAGAAAGTAAGAGCGAGCAAGAAAGAGGGAGGAGAGAGAGAGAGTGGGGGAAGGAAAGAGAGAGAGAGTGGGGGGAGGAAAGAAAGAGAGTGGGTGGAAGGAGAGAGTGGGCGGAGGAGAGAGAGTGGGGGGGAGGAGACAGAGAGAGAGTGGGGGGAGGAGAGAGAGAGAAGAGGGGGGGGGGAGGGAAGCCGTTAAATTTTATACACGTTCTGGATGTGATTCCCACGGCGCTGTTTCTAGACTGAAGTGTAGGACAGTTTCGCCGCACCTTTTGCGGCCGGCAGTGGCAATCTGTGACTGTGTCACTCCCAAACCTGAGACGTCCGGGATTTGGAAAAAAAGGAGATGACGGCCCTTAAGGGTTCATGACGTCATCGTTTCTAGAGGCGGAGCCCATCACCTGGTCGAGAATAAGCTCGGCCCCCTTGCTTTTGCGTATGCCTGACAGTGCTTCTTCCCCAGGGCCCTTCACTGAGCGTTATATCAGATGCCAGTTAGAATAAATTATTTTTAATTAATACAGGTTAAAATGCTAAACAAGCAACAGTCACCGGTGCTTATTGGTCTTACAACTTTCATATTTCTTTTCAATAATACTTCAAGGAAAAAACAATTTACAATCTCAAACAAAATGCAAACACCACTTAAATTTGCACCATTTCCAGTCGTAAACACTGCGTCCCGACAAGAATCTGTTGGCTTCAGCTTCGTGTATATAAAGCTTATTACTTTCATAAAAACAAAGTTTTATATGTTGTATATACCATATATAAATCGAAACTCAAAGGAGTTATATTCCGTGAATATTATATTGACTGTAGGCCTTTAAAAATCGAGTATTTATCATATGATTACATTCGGACACTGCTCGAAAACAATACCGCGCGAGCAGCGAGTAAGGCATATTTCTTTTTATCAAGAGTCAAAATGCCTTGCATGTAATTACTTGCTATATTTGGGTAATTGTATTGCTGTGCCTACATGTTCATAGTAGCAGGCATTACATGAATGCTGGCAGGGGAAAGTGAAATCATGTGGACAATAAATATAGAGAAATATTTATGACTGAATAGAGAGAGAAAGACAGACAGGCAGATACAGGGATAGAGACAGAGAGAGACAGAGAGAGAGAGAGAGAATCAAAGTCAAAACACACAATTCCATTATTTGCAATTTTTTTTTTTTTTTTTTTTTTTTTTTTTTGCTCATATACAGGGCAGTGTACAGTAATACAAAATAACTGGAGATACTATCAAGTTCATTCGTAGGGGAATTATAAGATAAGATCAAATAAATTGACCACATTATTTTAAGTAAAGGTATATGGTTTGGTTTATCATTTAATTATTAGATGTCATTGACAATTCAAAACAAGCTCCTTCAGTTTCCTTTTGAAAGTGATTAGATTGGAGATGTTTCTAATATTTTGTGGTTTGAATGCCTGTTTTCTTACTAATCATTTGTAGGTTGTTAAAGCCAGTGCCATGTTAGGGATTCTGACAGTTCGCGCGCATTTTTCCTTACAGCCAATAGGGAGAGGCCACCTGGATGTCTGTAGGCTCTCAGCCAATGAGAGGAGTTGACCCATTCACTCTTCCACGCGCTCTCTCTCAGGCGACAGCATCTCTTTGTTCTTCCCCCTTTTTTGTGTTATCATCACCTTATTTCGAGATTCAAGGAATCCCAGTACTTAAGTATAGATTTTAGGTGTTCTATGATATATATAGGTCTGGTCAGAATAAGTGTTGGAATCTGTTTAGTGGTGTATTTTTATGAAATATCCTATTGCATATGTGTAATATAATTCTATGTTCCTAGGTTATGCATTTATCTGTTCATTAGTTTTTTACTACAAGGCCCTGGATTCTGTTCTATTACTTTGATGTCATTCATGGAGTTAAAAACCTTGTTATCTTAGATCTTCAGTAAAATAGGAATCAACAGTATTGTTTATTTTAACCGTTGTGTAACAAGGTGCATAAACCAATGTGGTTATTCACCCTATAAGAATTTATGAATGGATATGCCTATGCCACATTGACATTTTGATTGAACGGTTAACTAGTTTCGTGTAGGGGTTATATAGTCATATTTATTGCCGAGAGAAAGAGAGAGTGAATGAAAGAGAGAGAGTGAGAGGGAGACAGAAGGGGGGTTGTGCAGTCATGTTTATGGAAATGAAAATGGAAAGAGAGAGAAAGTAAGAGTGAGCGAGAAAGATGGAAGAGAGAAAGAGAGAGGGGGAGCGGAGACAGACAGACACAGAGAGAGAGAGAGTCAAAGTAAGAGTGAGTGAGAAAGAGGAGAGGGGGGAGGGGAGGGAGGAGAGAGGAGTCGTTAGATTTTATACACGTTCTGGGTGTGATTCCCACCAAGGGCTATATAAGTATTTAAGTACTTATATAGACCTTGATTCCCACAGCGCCGTGTCTAGACTGAAGTGTAGGACATTTCACCGAACCTTTTGCGCCCGGCAGTCGCATACCCACTGGCCAATCAGCAATCTGTGACGTCACTCTCCCAAACCTAGGGCGTCCAGGGTTTGGAATAAAAAAAAAAAAAAAAAAAGCTGACAGCTTTAGTTTGCCTAAAATTTTCGACTGACGGGCTGCTGGAAGGCAAGGCGTCCCCGTGTTTTCTCTAAAGAAATAAAAATTCAGCACAGCATTCAAAAGTTCTTTTATTCATTCCATATCAGAACTGGTGTTCTATTCCCGAGGGTGAGACTTAAGAATAATTTCATTTAATCGTTGGCAAAATTTATTGACATGAAATAAGAAAACACACAAACACATACATTTATATACGTATATGAATTGCCTATATCTATTTTTATACAAACATACATACACATAAATATATATGTATATAGAAAAGGTCTGAATGAGAATATTAAGATATTCCTTCTCATTCATACCTTTTTCCTTTGTCAACATGAATACGGTTCAAATATGTATGTATATATATGCATGCATACACACACATGCGCGCGCACACACACAACGCGCTCACAGACACAAAACATATACGTGTATATATAGTATATATACATATATAACATATTTATACATATATGTGTGTGTACGTGTGTGTATATATAAATATACATGTTGTATATATTATATAAATATATATTTATATATATAGTATATATACATATATATATATTCATATATGTATATATGTACACATATCTGTGTGTGTGTCTGTAATATATATATATATATATATATTATATAATATATATTATATATATATATACATACATTTATATATGTATATATATATATATATATATGTATATGTGTGCATATATATATATATATGTATATAATATAAATATATTATATATATATATATATATAATATGTGTGTGTGTGTGTGTGTGTGTGTGTGTGTGTGTGTGTGTGTGTGTGTGAGTGTGTGTATGTATATATATATATATATATATATATATATATATATGTATATATACATATTCACACTGTACAGCATGTGCGTGTGTGCTGTTTGGTGCTTAAACCTGGAAAAGGCATCGATATTCATTTGCTTAAACTTTCGAACATCACGCCATTGATCCTTTAATCTGAGCCGTAGACTATTTGCTTTCGTCCCTTCGCCCCCCCCCTCCCGCCGTGCCCCTTTCGCTCTCATTCATAAAGCCCGACTCATATACCCCCACCCCTCCCCGCCCCCTACGAGCCGCCGCTCAGCTCGCCCGGAGGCGCTCGGCCAGCGCCCTCGCCCCCCGCCGTTCGCCTCCTCGTAGCCCGGCATCTCCTTCCTG